TACTAAAACATCGCTTTTATCGTAAAATATTTTTAAACTACTCACTATTGCCTGTGATATTTGAAAAACTCTGCATCCTCCCCTGTGTTTAAAAGCTTCTTTCGCGTTATACAATGTTTGACGACAAAAATAACATTCTCCTCCCTTTAAAGATGATAACATAAACATTACTTATGTATATTTTGCAAAAGCTAACACACGAGTAGGGCAATAACAATCGATCTCAGCAGAGAACATATGTTATCACAATCAAGATTTGATCATCTTTTAATAGTTTCTTGAAAAAGCTTACCGGTTTTGGTTTGGGCATTGTTCTATCCTTAATCTCAGCAACAAGTTTGCTAACGCGTTTGAGCTCGGCGCTCTGTGATGAATAAAAAAAAAACATGTGTGAGTGTTTCAAGAAGATAAGACAAAGTACACAACTATATTCCGCAAAAATCGGTTAAGATGTACGTTACAGTGACAGAAAACGATTTTTACAATACAACTTTTGTTATCAGAATAGTTTTTTCGTCATCGTAAAATAATTTTGAAACACGTACCATTGAAACTCTAAATTGAATGTCGCACTTATCCCCATGCTTAACGAGTTCTTCTTCAGTCGTGAAACTCGTTTCACAGTATTTACAGTCATATGATTTCGAAGACTTTTCCTACGAATATTTAAATATATTTACGCAAAAGAACATTTAAACAGTTCGGTTTAAGCGACAGAAAATAATCTTAGTGGAAATTTATCTTCTTTCCTTTCTCAACACATTTATCAATTCGGAATTATTTTCAACAACTTACCGGCAACGGCGATTGTAGATTTTTGTCACATTTTTCAATGTGAACGTTGAGTTCTTGCTCTGTATTAAGCGAACAAGTATTCATCTTTGAAAATAAAAGTAATAAGCAATACACTTCTGGATTGNGTCCACGTTGCGTCCGGTTAAGCACGAGGGAACAAATGAACGCAGGAAACGCACGGTGTTCACAGTTTTAGCTTCGTTACAGCATGCTAAAGCGGTGGAAGGGATGCGCACAACAGCAGTGAGTTTACGCAGGTAGAATTTGCTGCTGTTGTGCACATCCCTTCCACCGCTTTAAGAGCCGTCTACAATGGAGAGTTGTAGGCCGTAATAGTAAGAAATTGACCAATCACAGACAAAGTACAGAAGAATAATCGATTGTGATTTGTCAATTTCTTAATGTTACGGTCTAAAACTCTCCATTGTAGACGGCTCTTTAATCGCAAGCGCAAACGCAAAAAACAGATCTCGTAGAATTGACTAATCGTATTGATCAAATCAGCTAATTGATCAGCGTGATTGGTCAATTCTACGAGATCTATATTAATTCTTTAAGTCTCGAACGCAGCCGTTGTCTTATACTAGTTCTTTAAGCCCGTTCTACATTAATCGCAAGCGCAAACGCAAGGTATAGATCTCGTAGAATTGACCAATCACGCTGGTCAATTGGCTAATTTGATCAATACGATTAATCAATTCTACCAGACCTGTTCCTTGCGTTTGCGCTTGCGTCAATGTAGAACAGGCTTTAGATGTAAAACAAANAGTGCGTTCAGACAACTCAACAGTTGCACAACGGTTGAGAGATAATCACTTCTGATTGGATAATACTTTTGGAACCAAAGCAGATTTTGAAGAATAGTCCTATCATAAGTGATGATCTCTCAACCGTTGAGTTGTCTGAACGCACCCAAAGATGGAATGACCCAATAGCGCTGATAGCGTGTTCCCCGAACGCAGCCAATACAATTGTAACTTGGTTTCAATCCGTACTTACATCCGAGATATAATATTTTCAATATTTACTCAGAGATGTGTGTATATCCAAAAGATGAAAAATGTAGAAAAATCGCCTAGAAATTTATGTGAGTTGTCGAGAGACAAAATACAAATTCCAAGTTGGAAAACAAAATAGATAATAAGATATGTACTGATATTATCGATTGTCCTGTTCCCGCGGTTTCCACCTGATTTTGCTAGTGTGCACACGTTGTATATTTTTTTTGTCAGCCACTATTCATTCTCATATAGAAATAGGGTATCTATTGGCAACAGTCACAGGGTACAAGTCACTCAAGATCATTAGAGTGACAGTGGTATAAGTTCTAATTGTACACAATGGAAGATACGAAGAAGCTGCAAGAGTTCATGGAACTGGTTGGCCGATTGAAGGTGCGCTCTAGCAAAAATCCAAGATGTATACGTTTGCAAGCTGTCAAATTGTTTTCATTTTTTTTGCCCATGCTTTGAGACAACATCTTGTCATCTATAGTCACAAAGAGGACATTCAGCGATATAGTTTTCTGATTACAAGTATTTGAAAAGTTTTGCAACATTTTTGAATGGAACATTAATGTAGAAAGAAAAAAGAGCGTATATATATATATACATAGAGAGAGAGAGAGAGAGAAAGAGAATCAACAAAAAAGAGATACTTTGTATTCTAAGGCCTGATTTCTTCATATCTCCCGATAACTATTCTCCGGATAAAGATAACAAAAAGATAACAAAAAGATATACTTTATCTTTTAGATAAAGTTATCGAGAACTTATCAGAGGTGAAGAAATTGGACATAATAGGCAAAAGAGCAAAATAAAAGAACATGTGATTTTTGTGTGACTTTGAAACGTTGTTGTGTTTTAATTGTTTTACTCTTTTCTATTTATTTCCTTACCTATATATTAGTTTTATGACAGAGGAAATGTATCCAACTTAAAGTTACATAATGGTTGTGTTCAGCTGAGGTCAGTCATTAGCAGTTTTTGTAAGATGAAATATAGTTTTAGGTCTATAAAAAGATTCCAGAAGAATAGACAATTATAGCTAATCATTTGCCAAATCTGTAAATATTCAATAATACAAATTTCTGCTGATATTGTCTCACACATTTTCAATCAAATGGTTAATAAAATTTGACAACCAAAACAAATTTGTCTTTGTATGATTTGTTTTTTTCTGACTAATATGTTTGTATTCTTAAATTTCTGGAAATATTATGCTCATTTCTGGTCTTTACTAGCATATGAAGAGAACAGGATGGGTGAAAAGAAACATACCAGAGCCTGAGACAATTGCTGGACATATGTATCGAATGGCGATGCTATCTTTTCTGGTAGATGGAAAAGAAAATTTAGATAAAACAAAGTAAGAAAAAGTATTATTTATTATTGCATATGCAGTGTTTCAATTGTTGTTATAAATGTATAAATTGTTTAAGTATCATAGAATGTGTTAGAGAATCAGTGTACATATAAACAGAAAGAAGTGCAATTATAAATGATTTTAATTTGCAGAATAATGCAAATGACATTAATTCACGATTTGGCAGAATGCATTGTTGGTGATATAACACCTTTTTGTGGCATACCACCAGATGTGAAACACAGAATGGAAGATGAAGCTATGGAAGATATTTGTAAACTGCTGGGTGACAAGGGACCTGAAATATTGCAAATATTTCGTGTAAGTACAGGTTTATGCTTAAAATTTCTACTTAAGTATGTTATAAACATATATTTGATTTTTTGTTTCTTTTTAGGAATATGAAAAACAAGAGTCTCCTGAGGCACAGTATGTAAAAGATTTAGACAGATTAGATCTGCTGATGCAAGCGTACGAATATGAAAAAAGGGACAACATTCCAGGAGAATTGGATGAATTTTTTGTCGCAACTAATGGTAAAATTAGACATCCCTTTATTAATAAAATCGCTGTTGACATAACGGAGGAGAGGGACAAGTTGTGTCGCAATTCAAACGTTGCGCAATAACAGAAGCTGTGGTCCAAAACTGTGATCGCAAACCTGAAAGAGCAAGCTTTCAGATAGCTCAAGTGATATTTCCAACGTTAGATTGATTACTATGTCATATAAAGTTTCAAGGTATTACGCATAAACAATTAATGGCTATTAATATATTAATATACTTGTAACAAAACATGAGATTTTCATAGATAATATGTCAAAACACCAGATCTAGTGATGGATATATTACTTAGATACAATAGATGCGTATATATATTTATATATATATATATATATATATATGTATTATATATATATATATTGTATTATATATATATATATATGTATTATTAGGTATTTATCACAATTAATATTTAAACATAAAGTGATAAACTACCAAATATTACTTTTTATTACTGTATAGTTTAAAACAAAAGAGTTTAAAACAAAAATTATTATTATAACATGTATTTTCTGGCTATTAAAACAATTTCAGATATAGAGAGATTTTAATTTATAGAAGAGATATAGAGTTACATAACATTTTTTTGTTACAAAAATACAATATTTATAAAAAGAGGTGTTTGTTAACCAATCGTCAATTTATTATTTTCATAGATGTGTGTTATTAGGTGCGTCAAGTTACTATTTATCTTTCATGTTTCCATGTAAAACAACCATGTATATATTATTTATTTTCCTACATCTTCTTTCCACTTTTTATAACTGAAACTAGGATAGCATAATATGACTTGAGTATTTGTAACACATGATGTTTTAGTTTGAAGTTTTTTTTTTTTTTAGTAAGATTATATTATAAATCAGAAATTAATGTGACTTGGTTTTGGATACATTGAAACGAATAAAAATTTAAAAACGAGTTTATTCCTCAAAGATTTTGATGTCTCAGTTAAATTGTAAACAGCTTATAAATATAAAAACTAAGTTGTACTTTTCAAATTTTTACCAATTAATATTTTATAATTTTATCTCTTTACATTATCTCTTTGCATATCTTGAGATAAGTTAATGAATTAGTAATTTTGCGAATATGTAAAATGTAAATTTATAATGTATATAAATGTCGTGTCACGGTCATTTAAATACTACCGGATAAGGTGGAGTAAATGGTATATATCCAATGCCATTGTGTTCCGATATTTGCCAATATCGAAAATCGGTAGTGCAGGATACACGTGATGTAACCTATTGTATCACGAAATTGTACGCATTTGTATTACGTCGCACAAAAAATAAATTACTTTTTCGCTGTATAAATTTGAGTTGTTGGTTAATCGATTTTTGAAAACCAATTTTTTTCCATTTAAACAGTAAGTTCTATTAGATAAATTTTATTTAAAATTTATTTTTGCAACATATAAGAAGTATTGTCGAGAAATTTTTTCGTATAAAATATTTTATAAAATATCTTTGTGCACGTGAGATATGTACAAAAAATGTATATTAAAAAAATAAAATAAAAATCTTACAAAAGATGTGAATATATATGTTAAAATTAAATAAAAATATTTTGTAAGATATCTTTGTGCACGTGAGATATGTACAAAAAATGTGAATATATATTAAAAAAATAAAATAAAAATATTACAATAGATGTGAATATATATATATGTTAAAATTAAATAAAAATATTTTGTAAGATATCTTTGTGCACGTGAGATATGTACAAAAAATGTGAATATATATTAAAAAAAATAAAATAAAAATATTACAAAAGATGTGAATATATATGTTAAAATTAAATTTTCATTCATCAAATTCTAATTCACTTAATATAGTCTCTCTACGGACACGCGCGCATATAAAAAACAATAATAAGATATATAAAAAAAAGATAAGATAAAAAAAAAGTAACAACAGAAGTGTTGGTCAATTAGTCAAAGAGTTTTAAAATCTCTTGAAATTGCGCAAGTCAGCAAGCATAATCACTGTGAATACTGCGCGAGTAATAGCCCAGCTTGTCTGACTACCTGTGGTATATATAAATGACGGGAAACAACCGACATATGGTCTGTCAGAATCGGACTAGCACGCTTGCCGCGCCGTCGTTTACATGACAACGTAAACGCTAAGTGACATTATATACAGGGGCGACGAAGTGCATGCCGCATAATGGCGCAGCGAGTGAGCGGGGACGCTTCGATCTTCTCAAAATTCAATATCGATGCGAGCAAGTCTTTGGATTACAACGAGTTTCGATTGTTATGTTGCGAGCTATTCGATGCAAACGTGGTCGAACAGCGCGAGACAAGTATACGAGCAATTTTCAAGCTGTTCGATGCGGACGCGGACGGCGTGTTAAACGAGCAAGAAATACAAAGGTAAATGCGCGCGCACACAACCCTTTGGTAGTAAGTTAGATATCGTCTTCGAAATGGTTAGAATGAAAAAGAAAACAATTATATGTGTGTAGAGAGTAAAAAATATAAATTTTAAACGCTGTGAAATTAATTTATCTATCATCATAATATTTTTCTCTTAATTTCTTGTAAAAATTACTTTGCTTCTTCATTTCTAAATTGCTGTTTTTCGCTAATTAGGAATTTATGATGTTCATAATCCCAGCTAGCAAGCTTACGTGATAATGACGTGACAATGAAGTGATTTTGATGACTACGACGTTAATTAAGATAAATGGTACGTTATTTTGACGTCACAATACCAAAAGTTGACGTCACCGATATGACGTCATATATCAACTTATATATTGAATTTTAATATGACATCAATAAAACGGTTAAATGATGTTCTAACAACAAACTTGAGTTAAATTTAACCGTTAATTATAATAATGTCTATTAATAACATTTGTTTTTTTGAATAATATTATATTATATTTTTAAATGCATTATTTATAGGTAAGTATAGCCATTTATTTATAGGTAAGTAACCACGTACACTTAGGTAAATTGATTACCTTTTATATATTAAATTTATTTGCGATTAAAAATAACATATTATATAATAAATATATATTCAATGATAACTAAAGTTTATTGCAAATAACTAAAGTTTATTGCAAATAACTAAAGTTTATTCCAAATAACTAAAGTTTATTGCAAATAACTAAAGTTTATTGCAAATAACTAAAGTTTATTGCAAATAACTAAAGTTTATTGCAAATAAACTTTAGTTTATTTATGTCATAATTGACGTTTTGCAGACCACAAACTGATGTCATTATCACGTGAGCTTGCTAGCTGGGAACACGTGCGCAGTAAAAAAGAAAATGTTAATTTTAACATTTTTTGCATGTCCCAGGAGGTCCACTCTAAATTTTAAATTAAAATAACTCATTCGTTGTGAGTCACTTATTGACAAACTAGTGAGGTCAAATAATTGACACAATACTTTACATTTATATTTGTTATTTTGACTGTAAGCGTGATGTAAAAATAACATATAAAATAATTAAAAACTATACAAAACAGTAGTTACAGTAACTCGTGAGAAATGTTAACAAAACATTTTAGTTTGTACAATGTGACCAAAGATTTGTTTTAACTTTTTTTAATATGTTAAATTGACTTTGAGACATCTCTAGAGATTAATTGAAATCATTGTGTTAAAAGCTCTTAAACAATATTCCATTTTTTTAATGACGTGCAAAAAATGTTAATTTGTGAAGTTAACATAAATTTAACACGTGAAAAGGTTAAAAAAATAATAACATATCAGTATTATGTTAATTTTACATTGAAGTAATAATCAAAAAACGTCGTAACACAAGAAAAGTTCTACATTTTGACGCACGATATTCTTACGTTATTAACATTCATATTTTTATAAACATACAGTTATATTCTGAATTATGTAAGCACAAATGTAAAATTTGATAGTTTGTTAATTTATTTTTATGCGAACGTAAATTCTATACACGTTGTAGATGCTGTGATTGGATACGCACAACCATAAATCCTGTAAATATTTTGATAATTGTCGATGTGCAAAATGATTTTATCGATGGCACGCTATCTCTTCGAAAATACAACAAGAACATAACGGAACATAACATAACGGAAATGATAGACTCGATTAATGTGCTTTTACAAAAAGTTCGTTGGGACAAAGTAATATACACACAAGATTGGCATCCTGAGAATCACATCAGCTTCTTCGAAAATTTACCGTTGCGCGAATTGGATCCAGAATCTCAGGTAATTCAATAAAATAATCATACGTTCGAAAAGTAGATAGTTACATACACGTACATATGTATATATACACTGGGTGTCCAAACAATTTTGACCAAAATGAGAGCGTTATCACTTCAGATCGACAGAACGAAACCACTTAAAAAAAAAAAAACGCACGCGCTATCTGCTTCAAGGCAATGAGGAAATGATAACGCTCTCATTTCCTTCCGTTACAAAAAACATTATTAATCGAACGAAAAGACGTCCACCTTTCTTTATTATGTCACACGCTGCTCACTGCGTTACATCGCCTGTGAGAATCAGCTGATCGCCGAAAACAAGTTTTCTCATCCCTTCTCCGTTGCTTGCTGTTGAATTTAGACGTTGCTAGGACGTTGGATATGAAGGAGAAGCCATCTTTCTTCACAGCTGATAAGCGTACGCTTACACAGTCCGAACCCATCGCTTCCCGCGCGCTCATTGGCTTACATGTATTAATTAACTATTCAATAACTAGTCCGAAGTTTGCGAAATAATACGCAACTTTTTTATTCTCAAATTGTCGCAATCTAGATAGATTGCGTCAATTTGAGCAATATAGATAGATTGCGTCAATTTGAACAATCTAGATAGATTGCGTCAATCACACATCGGCTTCGGTCGAAATGTTTCGGACACCCGCTGTATATATAAGAATTTGCTGAGGAATTATTTGGATGTACAATAAAAATGTTATAATTTTATTTAAAGACGTTTATTAATATATTAGTTTTTTTTAAATCTATATATTGTTTTTGTTGAAGAAGAAAAAGTTTATTATTTAGTATATTATTTTATAAAACAGTTTTAGTATATTATTTTATAAAATAATTTTAGTATATTATTTTATAAAATAGTTTTAGTATATTATTTTATAAAATAATCAGTTGCTTCTCAATCATTTTGTGAAATAGGTCACTAAGGACAATGCGAAACTTTTTGATACTGTTGTCTTTTTGGAACCTCGTGTAAAGCAAACACTTTGGCCAAAGCATTGCGTTAAAAATACATGGGGTGCTGACTTGCACAAAGATCTTCTTATCTTACCTTCTTCCGAGCGGGTAATTAGATTCAATTTTATGTGCATGCAGAAAAAAGCTATTTTTGTTAGTATAGAAATTAGCATAATTTATGTGTTGCAGAGTATGATTAAAACTCTGTTTTTTTTTTTTTATCATTTTCTTAACAGTTTAAAGTTTTATGAATTATATATTTTCATCGTTGAAACTTTTGAAAAAAAAACGTCACTTTATTAAAAATTTACATTTTAGCTGTATAAAGGTTGTCAACCAGACAAAGACGTGTATTCAGGATTTAACGAAAAGGACGCGGATGGTTCTTCGGTGCTCGCAAGACTTTTACCGGATGTTACTGTCGCTCATTTGTATGTTTGCGGAATTGCCTATGACGTATGTGTAAAAGAGACCTGCTTGGATGGTCTGCGATTGGGCTATCGGCTAGCCGTTATTGACGACTGCTGCCGAGGTATAAAACCCGATGATATAACGATTGCTAAACAGTTAATTAGTGAAAATGGCGGCCTAATAACAACCAGCAAACATGTTTTCTCCTTGGTGAATGATGGCAATCACAGCTTAGTGACGGCGCATCACGCTGCAAAGATGCATTACGCTCGATAACAATTTTTATTAATAATGATAATTAAAAAAAATAATAAGAATCTAAACTTTGCATATTTCGTTTTATCTAAAAATTTATTATTACGAAAAAAATGCAATAATTTTAAAGTGATTTTTCTCTTGCTTGCCTGTAAGATTCAAAAGTGTTTTACACGTATTGCAGTTTATTCAAATTTATTTAAATAAATCAGTATTTACATAAAATTAGAATAAATATATACTTAGTATATGTGTAGATATAGTTAATGTTAAAAGAAGTTCAAAGTTCATCTTGTGTATTGAAACAGAAATGAGCGCAATTGTGTACTTAGTTATTTTTATAACTACAATATATAAATGATTAAAAACATTATATTTACAAAATAATTTTCTTCATATTTGTTTTATTTTTCTACTCATAGTCTTAACTAATTATCTTTATCGATTAATAATCTTGCAGTTCTTTCGATCTTGTTCGCCGATTCATCATCGACTGTCAGTTCACAGATATATCTTTGTCTCGAGCTACAATCCTCGCCTCTGTATGAATAAATTTTCGACGAAGCGTTAAACGTTAATTTCAAACACCTGCAAAACCAATCATAATATGTAAATCAACGCGATAATCCAGCATCGGTGTGTCTGAAGAACAATGTATAATTCACTCTATAATTCCCTACTTTTCTCATTATAGTACAAGTCATTCAATATAGTAGTTGGATAACTGGTTTGTTATCCGGTTTTTTAGAGCGCAAAGATCAAAGAAAAGTCTAAAAACATTCTAGCGCATAATCGTAAAAGTAAAAAGTTCTAAAGACCTTATTTTCTTAGCTAGCTTCAATATTTTTCAAGAAATTTTCCGACTCTTACAGATTAAACATTTTTGATTCAAAAACTTAAATTTCATCCAGTTTGCAATAATTACTTATCGAGTTATACACACAAATATTTCTATTATAAGTAGAATTAATATATTTAAAAATATATGGTTATATATAAATAAAACAGTGATGATACCAACCTGCCATCACCAATGACGGACTGTTTTGTATCTTGATGGACCGGTCTGGCACTGTTCGCCCAGATCCACAGAAGTCCTGGATTTAAACCTCCTGTCCAGAAATTCTTGCCCTTCAACTTAGAATCTGACATCAGCCCGGCAATAACGTCCTGACTCTCTTCGATCGTATCGAACTCGACCAGATGTCCGCCCATTCCGCGACAAAGACTGGCCGATGATTTCCAGTTGAAATCGCGGTTGCTAAAGTGGTAGCAATTTTGGCCCATTCTCGTGTAATTGTCGGGACAAGGTTCTGAAAGAGCGTTAACAGTAAAAGCATTAGAAAAAAAAAACAAGCGATTATCCGATGTTACCCGAAGCCAATTTGCCTTTAATTTTGTTTGTTTACCTTTCATTTTGTTGTTTCCAGCAATAACGTAGTACAACAATTCTTCCGCTCTTCTGATTCGTTTTTCGAGATGATCTACTCTGTACACCAACTTCTCAATGGCACCTACACAAAAATTTTGTTTAAAAAAATTTTACATCTTTGTATATAACACTGTTTGTAATGATTTGGAAGATATTTATTAATTATAAGTTAATATACAAGAAAAATGATTAAACCACGAATTTACGAATTTTTGTCTTTAGATATACTCGTACCAAGTAGATAAAGGTCAGTTTCGGAAACGTCCCTCTTATTTGTTGTGGAAATCTTAGTTGACACCGACACAGTTTTATTACCAACTGTTATGGCACGTGCGGCACGAGAATTGTTGGACTGAAGAGTAACCCAATTTTCAAGAATTTCCGCCCATAAACCATGATTCATCGTAACAACGGGTGAATCTATTAGCTGATTGTGGGACAATGATGATGGCACGGCTAACAAAATATGATAAATATATCAAAAGATCTATAGTAACACTAACAAATTGGCACTTTTATTTTTAAATGATCAATCGGGTGAAAAATTTGATAAATCTTTTGTGACTTATAAAACTGTGTAGTTATATATATATATATATATAT